TACTAAAACATACATATTGAAGAAACTTAAATAGTCGCCTACGTATATTCAAAGATAACATCATCAATTATATTTAATGTTGATTGAATAAAATAGAGGGAAACAGTGAGAATAAATTTTATGCAGTAAAAAATTGAACAAACATCTTAAATTGAACAAAATTCTTTTATTTTTTCGTTTAAACATTTCATTGGATATTCTTCTAAGAAATAATTACATTCGATTTTATTTCCTTTTAAATGGAAAAATGAGTTCATTGTGAATCTAATATGTGTTCCAACTATACGGGTATAATTGCAATATTCTTACCCTGATGACATTAAGCAAAGGGATTCCCATTCGGTGGATTGTGATCGCTTAATTTCAATGTTTTGAATTTTAGTAGTCTGATAAGTCCATTTAGTTGCTAGAAAAATCTCTTCATCAACATAAATCGTAATTTTTCGTGCACCTTGCAACACCTTTCGATCTTCATTCAAGGCTTCCAAGTCAAGGACTTTGTTATTAAAATAAGTTCCATCATTCAGTGAGTAAATTTTGATGTGTGTTACTCTGGGCGCATATCGAATAAATTGTAAAACTTCATTGAAAGTGGCCTTTTCCATATAAATTCGTTCAATATCCATGAGGTTGTTTGGTAATGTAATAACAGAACTGTGATTAAAACCAAGTATTTTCAGTTTCGGCATTGGTGGTAATGTAATGTGCCTTGTTTGGACCAAGAATAATGCGTTGAGTGCATGTAACGAAGATTGTAAGCTTTGAGTTGTGGCAAATAAAGCATAAACACGCAAATGTTTGTGAACATTTTTCTCGTGAAGTTTATTCAATAGCACACAGACATCTTGAACTATGGGCCGCTGTACACGTCCTTGAATATCCAATTGATCAAATTGTATTTTTGAGTTTAGGATGATATTACGATTTTCATACAAAAGATGAAAAGTGGTCGAAAAACGACGAATATTTGGATTCATTTCGAAAAATATTCTTAACTCAGAAAATGTCCATCCATGTTCGGGCCCACCGGCATCACCATCATCAAATACAAAATGCTCCAACTTCGGATAATGCTGAAGTAACCATTTGCATTCGTCGATTTCTTTCTTATCGCGGTGTTTTATCCACATAAAAAGGAATTTTAAATTTGGACAAAATCTTAAAAATGATCCGTAAAATTCGAGATTCGATTGCCATGGAATTTTAAGCCATTCGATTTGATGCAAAATACTTTTGATGATTTCAATTTTTGATTTATCTAAATTTATCCAAAATTCAATTTGTTTGATTGATTTTAAGGTAAATGGATCAAGCTTATGGAAATCTTTGAAACTATCGTTAAAAATAATGATTTTTTTGTATCTCAATTTAACCATTGGGTAATTTAACCGGATGTAATAATCAATCACTTGACATAATCGTTTGCATGTTTGACGAAGCACCAATAATTCCGTCAACGATAGCCACTCTCAAATATTTCTTCGAAACAATCAATGTTCAATTTTAGCATCGGCGTAGCTGGTGTTATGTCGTCTGATGATCCAAATAAAGCACATTTTAATCGTGTAATTAAGTTGAAAACCATGAACTTAAACATTGTAAATACGTACAGTGCCGGTGCTAAAGAGTACAAATTTCGTAAAAAATCTAGTGATATTGAAAAAAAAAATATGTAAAATGAATTTACCCATTTTAAAATATAGCAAAAAATTGCAATAAATATTTACAAAAGCTGGTTAATCCTTCAATTTCACAATTATTTTAGCTGTTTCAATTTTATTAATTGTTACCTTTGAGTCGTTTGACTGGTTGAAAAGATTTTTGTTTTGACGTTTATTCAACACTGACTTTTCGCTCAAAGTAAAATACTCCCTAAACTTAACTTGGGCTTACATTTGGCGCATTTTTTAATAATCATTTTTTGCTTCGAGGAAATGTCTGACCTATCAATAATTTTTTTAATCAAAAGTGAGGAGTATGGAAGAGCATCGAATGTATTTATGATTAAATTGAAAATAATAAGAATTAGATACAGTCGTGGCGAATATATTACAGCAGGTGAGCGCATATGTAAACCAATTATCGTCGTGATTTACCGACTGTATTCCAATACACATGCGCTCGTCGTGGCGATACATACTATACAGAATTGCACAAAAGAAATCTCAAAACTGGACAAACCTATACTATAGATCAGTTCGCAGCAGCACTGTCATTGTTTTCAATTTCTCTCCTTTTGGTTTGTTTACGAACTTTTGAAGTTGAATGTCAATTTTTCAAGCACATTGCAGTGGTTTTCATCGCTTGAACATTTAAAAAAAATACATAGCCTGGAAATTTTTTGCGATTGCCTTGCGATTGATAGTGTATCTATCAATATAGTGTATAGGATTTAGTGACTAATTTGAAATTTTGGAAATAGTCTCCCTGGGTTTTTGGCACAATTTCCCGAAAATAGAATATTTTTCTTGGGGAAAATATGACCAAAATTTTAAAAGGAAATATTTTCTACGATATTTCGGGCATAAATTCTCCATTAGATTTGTATGGGGGAAATTGTAACCGGGGAAAATATGACCGGTCACCACTAATGTGATAATTTGTGACTCTATTAATTCCTCATAATTGATCAAAATTATTCGAATCTACATGTTTATTTTTTTGAATGCTAAATTTATTTATTTATCCTGATTTGTTTGATAATAAATAGATTATTAATAAATACATTTGAAATGCCTTTCATTTGGCTAAAATAATTGGAGAAAATGAATCGAAACCAAATTGAATTGCGCTCGGTAAACTGATTCCATCGACGTCAGACTGGGATTTGAATTTAACTCGAAATTGATGCAGCGGTAGACATAGTTGTGGCTGATGCTGCTGTTGATGTTGCTGCAGAAGTTTCCGAAGATGCACTTGTTTCAGACGATGCAGTTGTTTCAGCCGATGCAGTTGTTTCAGCCGATGCAGTTG